AAGGTAATTGTAACCTGTTAAACTAAGTTAATCATGTTCTAACTTAATGTTATAGGTCAGTTTTAAATCAGTTTAACTTAATATAAGTTTAATGGATTCATAAGGTTAATTTGAGTCAGCTTAAATCTTTAAGGCAAACTGGATTTTTTTTTACTGTGCAGCTACAGTCATTTGATTGTGGCTTTATTGTGGTTAAGTCAACTCAACACATGGGCTGCAAGATGCCTCCAGATTGAAGATGTGGGATTAAAGTGAATTATCAGGCTAATGATGTGGGCTATTTCAGAATAAAGCCCGATTTTTAGACAGGCCGTGCTATCGATTAGCTCACATTAAGCCCTTACTTTAATCCAGGAATTGTTCAATTGTGGAAGGGGAATTAAAGGATTATTGGAGCACAATGTAGTGCTGCTTTTCTTATTAAAATAAATGGCTGTGACCTTTTTCACTCTGAAGACACATTTGTTAATCCATTTTAATTATGCAACTTTGAGAGTTAATCTATTTAGCGGTTAGTTTAGCTGGTTGTGATACATTTATTTGTCCAGCTTCAAACTTGAGATTAATTGTTAACTACACAGGTTATATTAGGGATTTGACTATTTGTTTAATTTGCCTAATGCTTTCCTGGATGTTCTGGGTTTAGGTTTATTTTTATGCTTATGAAATGCCTCTGAAGTGTCTCTATCCGAATGGACTGGACCAAAACAAACAGTAAATGAAAGCAACCTGAAGCACAAATTTGATTAATAGTAAGTTCAAATTAAGAGGACAACAGCAACATTGATGTAAAGCAGATAATACACACAGTAATTTGTATAATCATGACATTTACAAAAGTGATTTTACATTCAGAAAGCATAAAAAGTCATTAAATTTGCATTAGATTCAATGCTACTGTAAGTGTCTACTTTAATGTTCCTAAAACATTGTCAACAAAATGTCAATATATGAGTGAAATAATGTTGATGTTATTAGGTATATTAATGTTATAATTAAACACCGAAATGGTTCAAAACCTTTCACTGGGGTGGCACCTTTTCAAAGTATAAAATTTTGTACCTTAAATGTGCACATTGGTACATTAAAAGTACATTTTTGTATCTTAGGGTACACTTTTGTTTCTTGATATAGCACTATGAGGTACACATTTGTACTTTTAGGTATTAAGTTTTACCTTTAAAGTATACATATGTTTCCAAAGGTACCATTACTGTTGAAATGGTACCACCTCAGTGGCCGGTTTTGTACCTTTATTTGTATCTTTACTTATTACTTTTTAAAATTAAGATTTAAAACAACAAGTGATTATTTATTTATTTTTTTTTTTTTATTCTGTGTTAAAAATATGATTTAAAATAACAAGTGATCTAAGTGGATTATTTATTTATTTATTATTTTTTTAAGTTATCTTTTAAAATAGAATTAAAAAAACAAGTGATCATATAAATTGGATTATTTGTGAAGTAAATAAAAACTTAAAACTGACTTTTTAAAAAATATTTAAAAGGATATACAGTTGAAGTAAGAATTATTAGCCCCCTTGAATTATTAGATCTATTGTTTATTTTTCCCCAATTTCTGTTTAAGAGAAGATTTTTTCAACACATTTCTAAACAAAACAGTTTAAATAACTCATTTCTAATAACTGATTTATATTATCTTTGCCATGATGACAGTACATAATATTTGACTAGATATTTTTAAGACACTTCTATACAGCTTAAAGTGACATTTAAAGGCTTAACTAGGTTAATTAGGTTATAGGCAGGTTAGGGTAATTAGGCAAGTTATTGTATAACGATGGTTTGTTCTGTAGACTATTGAAAAAATATATATAGCTAGGGGCTATTTTTGTCCTTAAAGTTGTGTTTAAAAAAAAATTTAAAACTGCTTTTATTCTAGCCAAAAGAAAACAAATAAGATTTTTTTTTACTTTTTTTTTACAAAAGAAAAATTATCAGACAAACTGTGAAAGTTTCATTGCCCTGTTAAACATAATTTGGTAAATCTTTAAAAAAGAAATTCAAAGTGGGGCTAATAATTCTGACTTCATTTGTATTTATATTCTGTTACACTTTTATTGTTTTGTATTTATTTTGTACTTATTGTTTTCTATTACACTTTTGTTATTTTAATGCTAAAATTAAATGCAAACCTTCAATATTTCTTGTTTTTAATAATGTGGAAATGCATTTCTCTGAAAATTTCCCCACTAACAGTGTTCATTACATTTCATCTGACCAGTCTCATAACTTCAGTCAAGTAAAAGGCAACTAATACCACACGCTGAACTTGAAACTTAACAAATGTGACAACTCAAAGGAATAGAAGCTTATATGTTTTTTAAAAATCTGATAGAAAACAACTATTCAGATAAGATGACATTTCTCCATAACACAATGATGTCTTGACCACTTAATTCCTTACTATTTACACTTGACAAAGAAAAACACCAATGGCATCATTCTCTGTCAAAACAACTTTTTGACCTTATAAAGGGAAATTTGTCTTGGCCTACTTCTCAATACACTTCATTATGTAAGCTATACAACAAGTTTAGGCTATCAAAATAACACAATTCCTTCATTCATGCACTACAAGGAGTTTATACTTGCCTAAACCTCCTTAAACCTATATTTGTTTATTTGTTTTTTTTAAGCTCACCTCGTGACGTCCTCAAAGACATTAGGCTACGTCACAAAACGGGTTGAATGTAAATCGCATCATTCAATCCGCAGTAGAACACAGGCAGACACCCGATCTTTGCGACCTAAGGGTAAACTATCTGATTACCTTATGACAGATCGCATATCTCTCTCTCTCTCCCTCTCCCTCTCGTTTCACATCCAGAGGTGTTTTGTGTATTTAAATATGGATTACCAGACCTTTACATGTTACGTAATCGCCAGGTAGCCTGATATTAAAGGCTTCAAAATGCTCGACCTCATATTGCGCGTCTGGGCTACTGTATACATAATAATTTTAGTTTTGTTTAGTAAAGGGCCCTTGGTTGAATAGTATCACACATTATGTCATGATTGAAAGACGTATTTTGGACGTCATGTTGATGCTACTGTCAAATATACGTTTTTAAGCTGCGTGCTGTTGCTATGGTTACCTCTTCCGACGTAAGCAACTTCTGTTTGCGCTTATTTGTCATATCGCAAACTTGTGTGCCTCCTGAAGTGTCGGTGTAAACAACGTTGCTGTTATGCTACAATATAATATAACATGTTGGCCATGTTGAAACATCAATATTTAGTTTTGACTGCTTTTGAAGGATTCAGCAAATGAGTTTTACCCTAAAACCTGAACTGAGTGACAGGTGCAGGTGTCGTATCTACATGGCATCTTGCTCACATTTTATCTTAATGAATACGCTTTCCGCTTGAAAGAAAATGTACTCTGACTCAACTGTGAGGGCAATTGATTTAAATGTCAAGCTTTATCTCAGTTAGGCTGATTCAGCGTATTTTAACACTTGATTTGATATCATGACTGTTTTGATTGTCGTGACTGTTATCTTTACCTCTCATTGCTGATTGTATGCTTTTTAAATGGATAAAAAGGCTAACGTTAAACGATAGACATAAAAAGACTTGCTGGTGTTCATCTCTTCCAGGTCAGGCAGAGAATTAACGAGCATGAAAAATATAATTTCATCTCATCTCATCACCAAACGCGTGACTCCATTTCCCCTTCATTAATCCACCCGTGGATAAAACGTCACGGATTTACGACGACATTCACTAACATGTAAAGGATGATTAGATAAACAGATTCTCTAAAATGAATCTATTTGATTTGGAGTTTATCCTAATCGAGTTAATGAATAAGGCACGCGTTATTCATTCGTTGGAGCATGCAAATTCTGATAAAAGAATGTAGGCATGTTCTGATACTGGAAGATCTTGATATGAATAATACGGGAATTAATGTTTGGCTCTGCGTACACTCTTTAAAGTAGGTGCCAGGAAGAACAAAAAGTGATGACATAGAAGAACCTAGGTTTTCCAAAGAAGCTTCTAGTGAAAGGTTCTTTAAAGAACCATTTTAAAGTGTAAGAACACTGTAATTATCAACATAAAGAACCTTTTGTGGAATGAAAATGCTGCATGGTTGTTAAAGGTTCTTCGTGGAATCATGGATGGCAATAAATAACCTTTATTTTTATGAGTGTACAGCGAACAGTGCACAAAACGAAACAGGAAATATTGTATGAGCATGTGAGATACTGTACTACTTTACACACTCTAAAAGTATTGCAGCGGAAAAAAACTCCACCGAGGTCGCCAAACGACAACTTTAAATTTAATTCATTAAAGCACGGCCAGGTGCAGCGAAAGAAACCAAAACTGGACGCGTAAGCAGCGCGATGTTATTTTTTCCTTCTTCAAAGATTTTGCATGGCAGTTTTAACACACCTTAACCCGCCATGTTGAAAGTGGATTTGACACATGAGGGACGAGGATTTTGGATCATCTACTGCGCACCTGAACCACGTATACCGACCGGTTCGTGACGTCCGAAAACATTTCTATAAACACCGCCCGAACGTGCAAACTTAAATGTTGATATCCGCGCCTGTGTCCTCAGAAATCGAAAGGAGGTCAAATGGCAGTTTGAAAATAAAGTCAATAGAAACAGAGCGAGAATTGCTTTGAGGAAGAAGGCGAAACGAAAATGTGGCTTGTTACATAAACGTTATTTTGAGCGACATTTCTCTTCAGATCGTTAATATATTAATCGGCGGAATCGAAAGTGCCATCGCTCGACAGTCGGTGTCACGGATAAACGAGCTTACTTAATTTGTCGGACCGTTTACTCAACTCTTACGCAGACGCTTCTGTATATTTCTGACTGTTACAAACAACCTCCAAATATTTTTAACGAGGAAAAAGCGTATGTACACGAAAAATCGCGCTAAGAAGCGCAAGCCTGTGTCAAGCGCGATCCCTATTACATAATGAAGTTCATGCGTATGATGTAGTTTTTACCTTATGCGAGTTTTTTCCGTCTATCTGAATTGGGTGATCCGGTGTTCTGGTTGAAGCAGGAGCGGTGTGTGTATGCGTGTGTCCAATATGGCATCATCCCGCATCTGCGCATGTCTCAACATCTACAGATTATTTTCAAGCCGACTCCTTCATTGACCTTTACAGTTGCAAAATTTGTTCAGCCCATTATAAATAGAAATGGGCCCAAGCCTCCGCCTCCCTCGTGTGGAGAAACTCATGGCTGTGTCTTAAAACATTGCCAACCGCCTGCATGGACAGCATTCGGACATTCAAGGGCGCGTGCAGTACTTTCGGGCATCATTAATTCGTGTGTCGTTTTTGGACTCTTATTTTCTTTTGATGGTCAAAAATACTGTTCGTGAATATGGTAAATTTGCTGATAAGAAGCTGTCTATGTTGATAGCTCACTGCGTTTTGAGACACAGATAATGTAAACAAGAGGGTGTTGCTGTTGCAATTTTCACTTGTTTTTATTTGTATCTATTTAATTATTACTTTAGACTTGTGCAGAAAATATTAATAGTCTTTTTTACTTCAGCATTCATTATATACATATCACAAATAATTTTAGCCTTCTTATAAAGAGAGAAGCACACTTTCTATTATTTTCCATATTTTATGTAATGAAATACTATTCATTTTTGTGATGTTATCAAGTAGCCTCATGAAATCTAAAAATATAGGATATTTCACAAAAAAAGAACACAGTTTTCTGATTTAGAATTCATGCGAGTCATAACAAGATTTTAGTTATTAAAATAGCTAAAATGTTTTTCAAAAATGTAATCTAACCAAACTTTACTAAAATATGACAAGATTGAACAATTGACAAGATTGAAAATATGACGAGATTGAACAACAATATTGAAATATATAAAACAACAAAACTATTTACTTTGCTTTTCTAATTTATTTATTTTGTAATATTTGAAGTCGGTTCATATAATTTTTTTAACATTTTATTTGATTTTTACATAAATATTTACAGAAATATTTGACTGTGTACATAATCTTCACAAATATGTTTACTAATTATTACATAATTAGTAAACATTATAATTATGTATAATTATATTTTGAAAATTGCAGAATATAAATATAAAACATTTCTTAACCATTTTGAGGAATATAAAAAATAACAATAATGTGTTATCTCTTTTACATCTTTTATTTCCACAGCTTCAGGGATTCCAAAAACATCCACATATTAAGTTATAGCTGTTTTAACATGAAAATATGATTGATTTGCCTCTTGTTACAGTTATGATATAGTATGATAAAAAGCAGGAAATGTTCAAGGTCCAATGACATTACCACATTGAAATGGTCTATTACAAATTGTTAATTTGTTATCAGAAAACCATTGTAAATATATTATTTTTAGAAATTACCCCCTTATTTCAGGCAGACATTTTATGCTCATCTTGTCCTCCATTGCCATCCTGTGGTAACAATATTTATTGCTATACTGAGTTGAATTTGACATAAAGTGTTGCCTCTTAACGTGCCTCTATAAAGGACTATTCATTCAGAGCAAAAAGAAAAGTGCACTGTAATGTTTCTCAATAAGACTCGTTCAGAGCCTCAGTTTATCAGGCAACACCAAACCCTCTAAACCACACACGTAGGACACTGTGTGCACATACAAGGTGAAATTCTTTGTCCAGAAGGAGAAAAAACTGTTCTCATCTAATAAGCACAGGCTTCCACTTAGTGATGTAACAGATGGTTCATGCCTTGAGCTTAATCTACAAGAGGAGACTGTGACAAGCACTTCCAGGGACAGATTACCACTGCTGGAGCAGTGACCTTGCAGGACGAGATAGACAATGTGGGTCAGTACTTTATCCTCCCTTTGCTCTGGTATAATTCAGAAAGTTTTGCCTAGGGAAATTAGCTTTGTGCATTATCTGGTCATATATACATGTGCAAATGATGTGCAGGTCTTTAGAAATGTTACTGTAAAATAGTTCTAGCACATTGTAGACTAGAAATGCAACAATTATTTTTTTTCATATGTAAAACGTTTAAGATGTGTAACTATATTTAAAAATTTGTAGTTGTTACCTTAAAGACCACAGTGAGGAAGAAATATATATTCATATAAAGTATATAACTAACTGTGTATTTCTTTAGTGCATGGCTATAGTACTAAATATTACTGTTTTGACATGAACATGTTCTTCTAACATACAACTGCCTAAAAAAATAATGTTAAAGGGATAGTTCACCCCAAAATCTAAATTGGCATCATTTATTCACCTTCACTTTTTATAAGTCTGTTTCTTTGTTCTGTTGAAAATGAAAGAAAGATATTTAAAAAAAGAAATCTCTAACCTTTGACTTTCATAGTAGTAGCTTTTATGAAAGTCATAATATGGACAATATCTCACAGCAATTCGCAACTTTGTTTATTTAGTTTATTTAGTGGCTAACTCGTATAAATTTGTATGATTGCATTCATACAATTTAGTACAATTTGCTTATCCTCAAATGATGGTTGGGTGCCACGACTGAGAAAAATTATTCAAAGCTGATTCCTTTTTTAAATTAAGTGGTTGTAAACAATTTATTTGGTCTGACTTTAAACAAACAAATCAAGTTGAACATAACTAAATTTAATTTATTTGTTTTTATTAAACATATAATTTGTTTTGCAGACATCTTTTTTTTTACCGTGATCTAATTCGTAAACGAATTAGCCACTAAACTGACAAAACGTAAAATTGTTATGAGATGAGGCTGGATATTCAGCTCAAGATAGCTTCTTTAGTGACTAAGCTGTGCATCAAGAAACACATTTAGGCTTAAATCCAATTTAGGGTGAATAAATTATAAATTTTTATTTTTGGGTGAACTCTTTAAAGTGTCTGTTTGTACCTTGCAATGAATTCCTTATGGATCGCTGTTTTAATAAATGACAATAGGCTAGTTTTTATTTTAAAACTTGAACGGCATCCTTTTTTCTAATGATACACGATGTGATAAATTTGTATTTGAAAAATAAGTATTATTCTCATATTTTTGTCCTTCTAAATCTTTAGGAAATGTTTTTGGTACATCAAAAACTGTGGCTGATGACCATCTGACAAGCTAATCTAGCAAAAATAGTGCTTAAAAAGTATTTAAACCTCACAATTAAATAGAAGATGAGGCTAATAACTGCAAAAAGGTCAATTTTTTAAAGAAGAAATAACCACCCCTTTCACCAGGCTGGCTACAGGCCTGTAGTACATCCCAACAGTCATTCTACTCCTTTTCATACTGTGTAGAACATTGTTTTATAACAGTTGTGAGGTAAATTCAAATCCAAATGTAGTACCTACTTTAGTATGTTATTCCGAACATGTTAGTAATAATGTTACGTCAACAAGTGTGAGATTTTGTCTTGCATTTAAAAGTGTGTATGTGTGAAACAAACAATGAATTGTTGGTTAAAGCAATATGAGTAGACTTCACCACATCTTCTTGTGACATCAGCACATGCAGCATATACCTCTGGGTCATAGTGCACAGAACATGATTACATATAGGAGTGATAGGAAAAAAAACTACAGCAACCTCAGATCTATATTTGGCTTCAAGTTGTGACAGAGACCTGCAAATGGTAGATTCTGAGCTCCCGAACAATTTAAGCTTGAGAGTGCTTGCTCAGAATCCCAGTACCACAAGTATCTGCTCCAGTGATACGAGTGGTGCTACTTATTTTGTCTGTGCTAACTGTGATGCCTATCTGAGCCAGTTTCAGTACATCATTTTGTCTGAGTAGGCGAGAGCAACCTAAGCACTGCCACAGCAACAGAGAGGCATTCCTGTCTGTATTGTCATGCCCACTGAAGTCATTCTTGAGTTTCCAGTCTGTAAGGGTAGCTATTATGTTCTTTCAGACTCTTGTGTGTCCTGTATCTGTACTGCCATATGTTATGAGCGCTATCCTTGACTTTTGCAACTTCCCTATTATAGCTTAGGCTCCTGATTCCATGTCTGCAAACATATCTTATTCCTTCTCCTGCTCCCCTTTCTCCATTATCATCTTTATGATTAACATGTCCATCATGTTTCTGTCTGTTCTGATCTGTCTGTGTTTACAGTGTTTAACTCATGTTTAAGTCCTACAATTTTCTGTTGTTGCACTCTAAAAACGCATGGTTTATAATAGTGCTATGTAGAACCTATAAAGAACCTGCAATTGTTATCCAGTGGTTCTTATTCAGCATTACGGTAGGTGTTATAGACTACTAAAAATGGTTCTTTGGCTTGCAATCATAGGGGAACAACATTGAGTGCTGTTTTGCACCATTTTATAGTTCAGGCCTATAGCCAGTTTGGTGAACGGGAATGTTATTTTTTTTCTCCAAAAGAGGACCTTTTTACAGTTATTTGCTTAATTTTCCATTCGATTATGAGATTTAAATACTGCATTTTACTGACATTTAAAGCACTATTTTTAGCTGAATTAGCTTGTCGGATGGTTATCATCATAACCACACTTTTTGATGTACCAAAAATATTTCCTAAAGATTTAGAATAAAGCAATAGGAAAAAATATTTATTTTTAAAATACAAATATATTACATCATATATCATTAGAAAAAAAATAGGAATCTATAAAAAAAATATTAAAAACTAATCTCATTTAGGCAGATAACAATCGGACCAGCACACTGATTTCCTCAGTCAGAATTTGGCCATTTGAATAAAAAAATAGTGGCCGAAATAGGTTTCCTTCGAAGGGTGGCAGGGCACACTTTTATGGATAGGGTGAGGAGCTCTGACACTCGAGAGTAGAGCCACTGCTCCTCCACATCAGGAGAAGTCAGCTGAGGTGGCTCGGGCATCTGTTTCAGATGCTTCCTGGACGCCTACCTAGGGAGGTGTTCCAGGCATGTCCCACCAGGAGGAGGCCTCGGGGAAGACCCAGCTGGAGGGACGATGTCTCTCAGCTGACCTATAGGAACGCTTTTGAAATCCCCCTGGAGGACCTGGAAGAAGTGTCTGGGGAGAGGGAAGTCTGGGGTTCTCACCTAAGACTGCTGAATGAATGAATGAATGAATGAATGAATGAATGAATGAATGAATGAACGAAAAATAATTAAAATATAATAATAATACTAATGATACTAATGTAGAGCTTTACAATTTTCTAGCCTCTCTTGTAAAAAAAAGCATATTTGAAAATTCATGGATAACAACAATAGCCAAAATATTGTTCAAATCAAT